TATAATATATATATATATATATATATATATATATATATATATATAGGCAAACAAATTGAGAACGCATTCCAAAAATATAACTGTTAATTTGATATAACAAAACATATCATCACATCGTTGCATTTACACGCATAATATAATATAAATACATCTGCATAAAAAAAAAATCATGACATCATCAAACAAAACATAATTAATAATCGATAATTTACATTAACATTCGAGACAAGTACTATAATTTATTTTAATACACACTATTGTGATATTGATTTTCGTTTCGAAACGGAACACTTGACAGCCTTTAAATGATCTATCGTTAAGATATCTAGTCTTAAAAGGAAATAAAATAATAATAATAATAATAATAATAATAATAATAATAGTAATAATAATAATAATAATAATAATAAAATACGAAATAATAATCTATTACGTAAGTAATAATATAAGAATAATAATAATAATAATAATAATAATAAAACCAATGGCTGACAGCTCGAAATCAAAATGCAACATATAAATGCGCGACACGCATTGAGATGAAATAAAAATGATCCATTAATTGAAAACATGGATCGTTTTCAATGTGTGTCGATGCCTAGTGACCCACACAATCTGTTCCCTCGTATGTTTACAATTCATTCTTGTATTCCAAACGTACATGACACACGAAATAATGGATCAGAATACAGTTCACAGAAATGCTGGGTACAGGCGTGCAAAATGGATAATAATTATTTTAAAATTTAAAAATAAACGAACAATTCAATTGTCAATTTTAAATATTGAGAAAGTAATTTGTATTCTCTTTCGTAAATCGATATAAAAAAAGAACGAGAGATCAAAGTATAAAATTGAAAATTTAAGAATAAAAAGACTTTCCTGGAAATTTGAGAATTAAATTTTTCCAAGGAATGAAATATTTTTCGAAGAATATTTGCTTTTTTATCGCATCGATCTCGGTTTATTAATATCGAAAACGTAATATCCGCAAAATCAAATTCTAAGCAGAATTCTAAATAAATCACGAGCTTATGCAACAACCAGTGCTTTAATTGTTATTAAATTTCGTGATAATTTTGCAATTGCAATAAATTTTATCTGCTAAAGCAATTAGGTCATTTACGATCTATGCTACAGTGCACTTCAGAAATATTCTGTACCAAAATTGTGCGTTAACAAAATCTATGCTGAAACAGAATAAGATTAAAAAAAAAGGAATAAATTAAAAATATATGATTAATTGTTCTTCCAGAGTTTATAATTTTGCAGTGAATCAAACTTAAAAAGCTTCGAATGTAATTAAAATAATTAATAATAAATATTTAATGATAATTAACAATTTAAGAAGATTATATTTTACAAAGGATAATTTGCAAGATCAAAAATTGGAAAATAAATATTTAAAGTAAATTATTACTTTGTCTGAATCCAGCAAGTCTATACACGAAACAGGATATATATTGTACTGACTATATAGAATAGTGCTTTTGTCGTAAGATATTTATCTTAGTCTAATTTAACTCGTGTAAATAAAGTAACTGAAGATATTTAAAGAAATTTTACAACACGATCATCAACACTATCTACACTAGCTTCATAATTTTCAATTTTCTTTATTTCGCTCTGTAGCGTATAAATAAAAATATTTTTTTCTTTCTAAAATTATTTATTTATATATTTTTGCAAATATATCAAAAAAAATTACATAATCAAATCTATTACTTATCAAAATCAAAAGAATCTGTTATCGAATGCTTAAAGATCAAAATTCAGTCAAAATCACAAAAATTATTTATAAATTAATATTAATATCTTATATCTATTTTAAAATTAACCCGAAGACCAAAAAGAAATATACATATATACTATATGTTGCATACATATATTGATATACATTGAATTAAATTAAATTTTATTTCTCAAATATCTTGACTGGATAAATTCTATTTACAATAACATATATTATAGCAAGACAAATGAACGTTGGGATAATTCATTCGCGAAGTAACAATTGATATTTTTTATGCAAAATAAACAGAATAAAAAAGAAAATATCCTCTTAGACCAATGTTAACGTTAAGAAAAAAAACTTAAAGTATAGTGTAAAGCAAATACTGTAGCGAAAGAGTAAAGCTATACTCGATGCAATGTCTTTGAATTGATGAATATAGCAAGCGTGCTCGCCTTTTTGATGAAACTAGGAGAGTGCCAAATAGATTTTGAAAGTTTATAAGTGTGTGTGCGAATATTAGCGTTGTATTCGCCAAATATGACGAATATATTTGCGAATGTTACTGTCAAATTTTTATATAGTATGTTGTATTTATAATAATGTAACAAGCTTTATTTTGCTGGATTGATTGTTAATTATATACGTAAAATTTTTTTTATATATATATACACTTACGTATAATTTCGTTGTGATTTTATTATAAATATTGAAAATTCAAATTTGAATTTTATACCGAATTTTCGTATAATACGATTTTGATAATTTTAATAATATTGATAGTTTTAATAATCTTTTTAATTTTAACAATTTTTTCTTTTTATTTTATGATTCATTTAATCTTTACCTATGCAGAAATTTAATTTCTGAATTAATGAAATTAAATTGCGCATCATAGAAGAAAGTCTCGTATAATACGATTCGTAATTGGAAATCTTTATATTATGACGATACAATGCGATTTTAATAATAATAATTAATAAATTTAAATAATTTTATTAATTTGAATAATTTTCCTTTCAACTTTGAATTGTGTGATTTCTAAATTAAATTGGAAAAGAAACTCTCGTATAATACGATTCATAAATTGCAATCATTGTATTATAAAAATAAAAATATTTTTAACAATTTTATCTTTCCAAGGATTAATTGAACACGAAATTTTAATTTCTCTAATAAAAAAAAATCAATATTTAATAAAATTAAGATTCATTCCAGCAAAATAAACTATTGGTAATTTAAGTATAAGGTAATTACGATGAACATATACAGATGTCTGATACGAGAGATCTACCTAATGTGTTTTAAAAAGTGTGTAAAAATGGTAGATGTAATAACTGTGTTAATGTCTTATAGAAATGTAATAACATTCAATGGTGCTTTGGTTTCTCATCTTTAAGTTCTTAACGATATAAAATTAACTTAAAATAAAATCGAAGAAACACCCTTTAAAAATTTCTTCTTCCCATCTTAATGTATAAGTCGAGTGTCATGTCTTTTTCTTTTTTGGTTGTAGCAAATACAATAAAATTTATAGAAACGATCCAAAAAGAAAACCCTGAGAAAATTTGCTTTGACGTAATATACCACTTTGTAAAAATATTAAATTTCTACGAAAATCGGCAAGATACATATGAAGATCAATTATCAAGAAATCAAAGGACCATTATCCGCTGAATAAAATATACATAAGTGTACAATAACCGTCGATCGGTAAAAGAAAATTTATAGCTTTTCTGCGAAGAATTCGATTTTCGAAACTTCATCTTGCGCTCTTGGTAAGTGTATACATATATCGACCCATCAATGAAAAATTCGACCAATCTCTATGTCTATAACCAGTATAATTGTACGCTATTCGGCGCATGTTTTCATCTAAGCGATCTGATAACTTCTGATAAGTCAGATATAACATATAACATATATCGCTTTATTACGATAAGCTTTTGGGTGCATATCGATAAGTTACATAGATGTAAATTTTTACGGACAACAAAAAAAAAAATATAAATATACAAATATATATATTTTGACAGAAACTTCACGAAGAAGTTCGCGAGAATCTTGAGGAAGACCTTTAAATCGAGACTGTTCTTTTAAATGCAAACGATTCTTCGATAAGACAGTTTCACGATTAAAAATGTTTAACATCGTGATCAACTCCGTGTAAAAGAATTCTAATATCTTCGTGATATTTTCTGATATATTGTACGTCGCTGCGGATCATATTAATTCGGACATTCGAATGTTTTTAAGTACTTTCGTATTCCGAATGGGAAACACAGTCGTGGGAACATAGTCCATCTCGAAAATAAATGAAGAAAAAAAAAAAGAAAATTTGCAAAGAATTTAAAGATAGAGATTTTCTAATTTCATAACCATTAGAGAATAATTATAAGTTTAATTATTTTATTCGCTTGTTTCTCATTAATTAGAAAATCATTCCTTTCACGCATTATATATTAAAATATTAAAGAGAGAAATTTCTAGATATTGTTAGTACAACTAGCTTTATGTATTTCATTGTATATAAAAGTTCGGTCATATGAGCATCGATATACATTGTATCGTATTACATACATTGTATACGTATAGTTGCAAATACATTTTAGAATAAAATTCTCGAGAGATTAGTGTGCGAGAATCCAAAAATGTCAGGTCAGATCAAATTGAGAATTCATCTTATCAGAGTTCCAAAAGTATCTCGTAATTCGATATCAGAATCAAAATTTCCTGAAAATTTAGAAATTCTTGGAAATTTTAGAGAAATTCTAATATTTTCAAGAATTCTGAAATTCTCGAACTATGAGATACTTTCAGGATCCGACGCGATCCGAATCGACTCGAGCTAAGCCGATCCAACCCGAGCCAATCCGACCCGTCCCGAATATCCCAATATTTTCGGATTCTTGTATATCTCTTAAGAATAACTTTTGTTTTCAAATTTTATTCTCAATGCAGTGTCCAAAAATTATTCTCGAGAATTTTACTTCCAAATATATTCGCATTCTTGATTATTAACCCCTCTTGAATTTGCACGTATGACCGGGTCTAAGACGTGCGGTTTAATAAATAGTTAAATTGTAAGAATAAGTCAATCATCAGGTTAGATCGATTGAGAGAACTACATAGGATCATAAAAATTGTCTATTGTCATTTATATCACATAATCTTTGCAGTCAATAGTTATCGAGACTTTCAAATCAGTGTGTGAAGTTTAAGCATATGTTTTAACGTCGCGAACAATTTGCAAATGCTTTTCGAACTTCGACCGTTGGTATCATTAATCGTTAGTTCGTATAGAATTTCTAATATACATATAATCACGTGTGTGGCAAACAAGAAAAAAGAAGATAAGTTATTGTGGTTTTTGTATTGTACCGTAGAGGTTGGATTCATTTAGAAGTGCATAATGTACAGTTATATTAAATCATATATGATAATATTTCAATTTTAATCAATTCCCATAATATATATTTGATAATTTACTGAAATGTAATTAGGTTATAATATGAATTTTAATTGATTGTAAATTATATCATATATTTCGTGTGTACTTTTGTTTGTTAAAGTGAAAAATTTGATTCTATAAATTAATGAATGACAAAGAAAATCATTTTTATAAATATAATGCATAAATGTTATATTTCATGCAAACGACGTACACTACCAAAAACAAAAACAAAAAAAAGAGTAAAAAACATCAATGTCCTGACTATTTCGTGTTCAACTAAAGTTTTTGATGTTTTAATAACTGCTTCAATAAAAAAATAGAATCTTAACCTTGTTGTTGCTGATATTTAAAATATTATGTATAAAATCTATTTGTTATTTTAAACAAATAGTTTAATAATTCTGTTATTTAAAAAAAAAACTTCATTAAATATTTGCTTTTCAAATTTTATATTAATATATGTTTGAAAATTCTTTTTTATTGACTTTTTTATTGATAAATAATTTCGAAAAATTTACTCATCAAAGTTTTTTTATTTTTTATTTTATATTACATATAGTGATTCAAGAAATCTGAATTCAATATATTCGAAATTGATCATATTATTGAAAGAGTTGAGAAAAATCTTTATCTTGTTCTTTATCTTTAATTATAATAACAAATGTTAAGATTCTTTAAAAAAAAAGAATTTGTTAAAAAAAGATAGAATTAAAAAAAAATACAGAAAATAGGCAGTGAGTTGCATAATGTCGATGTATGTAAGTAAAAACAATTAGTTTGCAATTCATGTAACTAGTTAATAGAAGAACGTGACGTATGTTAATAAGTAAAGAAAATGTTACAAGGAAACTGTGTGTGTTTGTAATCGCGTTCCTTAAACAGACTGGCTCTCATAGATAACATTAAAAATAATGCGTTTATGTATGAACTGGTGTTCAATAGTACACGATTAGTTATTAGATATCATGCTAGATTAGTAAAAATAATAATATGCTATATGTTATAGTGTTGTACTAGTGTTTACACCTTCCTATTTACGCATTCTGTATTTCCTAATGGAAGATAGAAAGTAGTTATGTGTACATGCTAGACTAGTCATAAAAATTAGTATTAGTCTATTGATTTGAAAAAATCTTATGCAATGTATATTGAATGTACGATTTTAATTTCGTCTAATGTATCTTTGTTACCGCTATAAAACTTCACTTGTTTATTGGTTGTTAAGCTTTGTTAATAAAATATTATAAGATTTTAAAAGATTATTTAATTCAATTTAAATTCCTTTCATTTCCAATTATATATATCGTGTATAACATATATATATATATATATATATATATATATATATATATATAA